TCTCAAAAAACAAACACAAAATTGATTGCAGTGTATCTTCATCCACTTTATTACCCAGATCTGGCACCATGAGACTTTGGATTCTTCTCTAAAGTCAAAATGGTGATGAAAGGTAAATATTTTAAACTGATTCTGGGCTGGGGACACAGCTCAGTGATGAAGTGATTGCCCAGCACGCACAAGGCCTTGGGATCAATCCCCAGTGATGAAAAAAACCAAACAGAGCATGGTGGCACACGCCTGTAATCCCAGCACTCAGGAGGCTGAGGCAGAAGGATCGTTGCAAGTTCGAGACCAGCTTACACTACAAACTGAGCTCAAGGCCAGCCTGAACTGCATAATGAGACCCTGTCTCAAAAAGACAAAAAAAAAAAAAATTGAATAAATTCAAGATATGAAGGCAGTTATGAAAATGCAAATAAAGATACTTGTGAAAGAGGGCTTTCAGAACCACTTCAGAAAGTATCAAGAATGATAGGACAAGCGAGTTTGGATCAAGGGCAAGTATTCTTTTTTGTTTGTTTGTTTTTTCTCCTGTATCGGGAGCCGAACTCACCACCTTGCGCTTGCCAGGCAGGCGCTTTTGCAACTGAGCTAAATCCCCAGGCCAAGGGCAAGTATTCTAAGGGGGATTAATACCGATGTGTCCTTTACTGAAACAAATGTTGGGGGAGTACTGGGACTCAAACTCAGGACCTTGTTCTTGCCAGGCAGGTGCTTGTGAAATAAAAATTTTAAATTTAAATATTTGCCATATTTTTGGATCATACTTCATATATACATTATGAAATGGTTAGATTCAGCTAATTAACATATGCATTACTTTATAGTTGTCATTTTTGTGGTGAAAAATTTTATCAATTTTTACCATTTTTCTTTTTTTAAAAAGTAAAACAAACCTTATTTATTTTCAGGTAAAAACATTAACCTGATGGATTATTGAGAAATCAGCCATTAAAAAAAAAAAAAAAAAAAAAAAAGGACAGCCTTGCTTACAGATGCCCCTTAACGGTGTGTAGACAAAGGCTCAGCCGTCCGCCCCCAGTCGGCACTGGGCGAAGGGTGAGAGCCGAGCTGGGCATTGGGGCACATGCCTGTAGTCCCAGCTCCAGGCAGGGCTGTGGCAGGAGGACTGAAAGTTTGAGGCCAGCCTGGGCAACTTAGCAAGACCGTGTCAAAAAGAGGGCTGGGATAGAGCTGAGTGGCAGAGTGCCCCTGGGTGTGATGCCCAGGATCACAAAAGCAAAAAGAGCCAGTACATGCACATTAACTATGGTCAGAGCATGGAAAACTAAGTTAGATAGACATTATAGGCAGTCAGACAGGGCCAGGCCCTCAAGACAGTCAGTGCAAGATGAGAACACATTACGGCTGTGGCTGGAGGCGCATCCACAGAAGGCCAGGCCTCAGGAGAAAGACGGAATGACCAGGCCTACGTGCCTCCCTGGGGGGTAAGCAAAGTACTGTCACTGGTGTCACCCGGTCCAGTAAAGTCCAGATAGACACCGGTCACCCAGGTGGGTGAGCAGGGCCTCCCGACTCATCTCTTCCAAAGAAGGTCCTTGCTCTTTCCGGGGACACTTGCTACGTGGCTTGCTTCCCCACTCCGTCAACATTACTTAAGCAGCTATACTTGTAATCTTATCGGTTGATCATAGTTTTGTCCCTCGTTATACCTGCCTCATGATTTTGCTCTATAAAGCTTCCTCTAAAAGGTGGGGTCCATGACAACCCACCCAGGTGCCCCTCCTGTCTCTCTCAGGCGCTGTCTCTCAATAAAATTTCCTACTCTTAACCTCTGTTGTTCTTTTTTTTTTTTGTCCTTTTGAGATAGGGTCTCGCTATGCAGTTCAGGCTGGGCTTGCGCTCACTTTGTAGCCCAGGCTGGTCTCGAACTCGCAACGATCCTCCTGCCTCAGCCTCCTGAGTGCTGGGATTACAGGCATACGCCACCATGCCCGGCTCTCTGTTGCTCCTTAAAATTCATTCTTCAGTTCTGGAGAACACAAACTCAGCATATCAGACATCCAACAAGTTGAGAGTTATATTTTCCTTATATCATTTAGAGGTCTTATCTCAGTCATGGTGTACAGTAGATCCAGAAGCCACCACTGTTAATAATTCCCTTCTTGATTTTTTCTATGCAGAGTTTTATTGCCTAGTTGAGATTATATTCATACTCATTGTTTCCTAACCGTCTCTGGGTGAAGGGTGTTAGGAAACAAGTACTTAAGATAATGACTATAGGTTTAACTATTCCACAACGCGTTGTGTAACCATTTTATCTATCTGTTATGGTTTGTGTCCAGATGTTCCCCCCAAAGCCTCATGCAGTCATGGGGCGGACTTCTAGAGTTTTTGACTGATCCATGGTCTAGTGGGGGGGGGCTGGGGGTTTAGCTCAGCGGCAAAAGCGCCTGCTTGGCAAGCGCAAGGTTGTGAGTTCGGTTCCTGGTACCGGAGAAAAACCAAAAAAAAAAACATGGGGAGAAAGAAGCTGCTGGCCACCACTCCTCCCTTTTGCTGTCTTCCAGGGCCATGAACTCTTGCCCTCTGCCATGTGCCACTCTGCCTTGGAGCCAGCCGAGTACGGACTGAAACCTCCACGAACTGTGAGCTAAATAAACCTTTCCTTCCTTGATTTGGGGCATCAGGTATTTTGTCTCAGCAAGGAGAGAAAAGTAACCAAGACACTGTCCCCTTCTCTAAGGTCGTCAGGGAAGATCCCTGTAGAGTGGAAGGATGACCACATCAGCACTGTCTCTGCTGGTCCCGGTCCTGTAACCGACCGCCACTCTACCCACAGAACCTGGGAAGGACTGTACCCTAGAACTCAGGATTCTGAGAGCTGAAGCTGGCACGGGGGTGGGATCCCAGCGGAGGTCCCCTCTCAGGGGCTGGGATGAGGGTCTCTTCCCATTTCAGGTCAGTCCTGACCAACTCATCCTGTGCATGGAACTTTCAACACGGAAGATTTCCTGAGCCCTAGCAACTCTGCTGAGGTCTTTGAGGTCCGAGCCCTCCCAAAGGGACGTACCAGCAGGGTGCTGCTCACCAGGTGAGCGGGGCTCTGGGGGACAAGCCGGGACGGCTTCAGTACTCTGGGGTCTCCGAGTCTAGGCTGAGCAAGGCCAGCTGGCCAAAAGCAAAGCAATGATGGCAAAACCTACTCACTGGGCACATCTCAAGCTCACTTCCGCTCTCCTGCCCTCGTGCACCTTCCACCAAATGCCCAGCCCCCCTCTGCTTTGAAGAGTACAGTTTATGGGGGCCCCGCTCGCTGAAGTACACCTGCGCTTTGCTGGAACACACTGTGATGCCCAGGGGGATGGCTCCATAGCTGTGTAATATATTGGTTTTTTTGGTTTTTCTCTGGTACCGGGAACCGAACTCATGACCTTGCGCTTGCCAGGCAGGCACTTTTTGCCGCTGAGCTAAATCCCCAGCCCCTGTGTAACATATTGTAAAGCGGTCTTCTCTCTGGCATCTCATCCTCAAAGTACCCTATACATAGACAACAGCCAAGACCACTGTCCCCAATAAGCCTCGATTTCCGCAACAATAAAAATGAACAGCAAAATTAGGTCATTTTCCAAGTCCCTTCCCACTTTGAGGTGTTAGGCTTGTGAGACTGCAGCCTCCCGCTCCGAAGCGCAGGGCTGGCCGGGCCTGGTTAGGAAGCAGCTTGTCTGTGGCTTGGCACCACTGCCCAGCAGGCATTTATTAAATCAGTGGGATATGGTCCCTGCCGGCCAGAAGAGAACAGTAAGCTCCAAACACTTCCTGCAGCAGGCCTCCTCTGGAGAGTGCTGCTCAGAGGGGCGAGGAGCAGAACCATTTAGGTCCTTGGCTGTGCTCCAAGATCCTGTTCGCTAGTGCTTCTGCCCCGTCTGCGCGGAGAACCAGTGACTGGAAACGTCTGGAAGCCTGCCTAAAACCTGGGCCACCTCTCGCTTTCTTTTGGGGGTGGCTGTTCTGCCTCTGGTAATCCGTGCTGACCTTTGCCGACGCCCCTTCCCTTCCAACCTTCTGCACCTCACTGGGTAACAACCTCCTAATAAAATCCAGATGTGCCCAGCTGGTAACAGCTTCTGGAAAGGCTGTAAGATCTGCCACCTGCCCTTGCACTCGCCGAGCCCTAGGAGCAAGGGAAAAGAAGGCTGACCCAAACCTTGCAGTAGACAGTGGGGAAAGGGGAGGGCAGACGGAGGCGGGAAGAGAAGCAGCAATGGGGAGGCTCTGCTGAAGCCAGGAGAGGCAGCTGCAGGCAGGAATGCACAGGTGTGGTGATGCGGCCGCCGGGTGGCCGGGGAGGGCCCCAGGGGCCTGGGCGTGCCTCCTCCTCGGTGACCTTAGTCCTGCTTTCAAGGCTTAGCACTCCGTGGCAGACTGAGGGCAGAGTGGTCCAGAACTGCCTATTTTCTCTGAGCCCTGGAGAGCCACCCACGGTTCCTTGGTGTCTAATTACTTAAGGAAATATTTACAGAGCACCAATAAGATATGTGTCTAGTGCTGGGGAGAGAGAGATGGCGAACAAGCAAACTCCACTTCTGTGCTCATCTCGCTTGTTTGGAAATCCTACTACAGGTCACAGTCCTGGTTGTTTCCAAAGGGGCTGGGGTACATGCAGTTCCAGAGGCGGAAGTTTCCTAGCAGTGCCGGGTCTCCCCCATTCGGACTCCCTTTCCCTTGGCTTTTCTGGGGTGTGGTGTTTAGATACAGGACTCCTTCTATCCAGAGATTAAAGAGGGACCTTTGATTTACCACCAATGGCAAAGTCCAAGAAGTAGTGGAGTGTGATCGCACATGTCTGTAATCCCAGCACTCTGGGAGGCTGAGGCAGGTCGATTGGAAGTCGGGGCACAACGGGGCAACTTAGCAAGGACCTGTCTCAAAATTTTCAAAGAGGGCTGAGGGCTTATTTTAGAGCAAAAAAGGCTTAAGCTCAATCCCTACTACTCTTTCTCCCTCCCCGCAAAAGAACCTAAGAAATAAACAGATTGGGAAGGCCAGTAAGCAGTTTGAAGTTTATTTATAAAGCAGACGAACGCACTTCCTGAGCACGGCCTTTTCAAAATATTTTTTACTCCTCCTTTGTCTCTTCACTCAGCTAAAACTCCTGTTTGCTCTCATCTGAGAGCTCTCAGTTGATTTCACTAACTTATCCCCTCTTGGCGATAACAAATCAGATCAGTAATCTTTCCATTAAACAGAGGGAGGGTTCATCTCAGAAGGCCCCCAAGGACGCTAGAGGAGAAAACGCCTGCTCCGGTCAGCTCAGGACGCTGTGCAGCAGAGAAAGCGGTACCCTTCTTGCAATGCTGCCTTCATCTCCTCGAACTGGGCCAACTGGCAGGCGTCATCCAGCGCCAGCCAGCAGTAGGCTTGGTGCTCCTGGGAGAGACGGATTTCCACGCTGTGGTCCTTCACCTCTGCCAGCCAATAGACGACTGTTTTCGGCTTCCCTCTGGCCACATAACTGAGCTCCTTTCTGAAGCCCTCAACGATGGTCAGCTGGTCTGCTTCTATGCCCGCTTCCTCCCGCGTCTCCCTCAGGGCTGTTTCTAAGTCGTTCTCTCCCGGGTCCACGTGGCCTGGGTGGCAGCAAGGAAAAAGAAAAGGAGTAAATCGGCAACAGTTTCTAGTGCTGGGTTTTTTCAGGCTACACGATTTAATGACAGCTTTTTTTGTGATTTTCTAGGGGGTTTGGCTTAAAGGAAGTTTGGTGACTGGCAACATCCTAACATGCCCGGGAAGGGGCGCAAGTCAGGCGGTGTCTGGTTCCTGGGGCCTGAGAAGCCCCCCTCCCCACTCCTTCTCTCTGTGGAGAGTGACACAGGCCATGTGTTTGGCAAGCCTGGGTTAGAGTGGGGCTTTTCAGTGGAAAGTGAGGCGGCCTCCCTCAGCCTTCTGCTTTCTTATTTATCGCAGCTCTGCTCCTCCTGCGTTTTGAGGGACCACTTTTCCCCAGGAGACCGTAAGGCAAGTTTTCCAAGGAGGGGCAGTTCCTTCTTGGCAGGGAAAGGGCTAGCTGGACAGGGAGCACTTTGCTTACAGTCCAGTGAGGACTTAACGCTCTGCATTGGACCCCGAAGTCCGGGGGACACGCAGGCTCAGAAGCCCGCGCTGCTACCCCCGCAGCTGTGTCCAAGTCGCCATCAAGGCTTTTTCCAAACTGTTCTCATCTCTCTAGCTGAGCAAGGCCAGATTTCAGTTTCACGGGGAAAATCTTGGTGGGAACTTAGGCTAAGGACAAGCTGAGAGCCAGTTCTAAGACAACTTGGCAAGCGACAGCTGCCGAGAAACTGCTGTGGGAGAGCTTGAAGCCCTGCGGACTGCAGCAGCCCTCAGCTTCACTTCTCGGCCTTTCACAAGGTCTCAACTTGTCCAAAGGGGCCCCGAAGCTCTGGGAAGGAGAGGTCCCTTGGCCTGCTCATGGCTCCCGCAAGGCACTGGGGGCCTCCTGGCTTGGGAGCTCATGCGGTGCAGGAGCCCTTAGGTTTTCCCCTCTTTGTCTGGAGATGGAGCTATAGCCTCCCAGTTCTTTTCCCCAGGGGCCCACATAACAGCAACCTAAAGCAGTTGCTGCTACAGTGAGAACCAGGAACTCACCATTTCGAGAACCCATTCTTCTGGCCATGGTGGCGCACAGCTGCAATCCCAGCACCGGCTACTGAGGCAGGAGGATCACTGCACATTTGAGGCCAGCCTGAACTGCCCTGTCCCAGCCTGTCTGTGCACACATCCCTCCAGGAACATCTGTTTAGTGTTCTGCCCATCAGGGATAACCGGGTAACTTCTCCCTAAGCTCACGCGGGGAGCGACTGGAGGTCCTTTTACATCTTTCAGTGAGAGGACACATGCAGTGTGACTTGGGCAGTCAGGAGCTAAGTGCGAATGTTCCTATTCATAGCATTCAGGACACTCGTCTCTTCTCCCTTTTTTCTCATACCTCAAATGTGCAAAAATTTGTTTCCTGCTATCATTTCCTTGTTTGTGTTCAACTCTACACCCTCGCCCACCCCTTCCATCCCAGCCCCGCTCCCTTTCTGTCTGGGTGCCCTGCATCCAGGGTGCCAGGGCCACTGACTCTCCCTTCCTGCTGGGATGATCCCAGTGGCCTCAGCCAAGAATGGCTTCTTTTCCCCATTTCCCCTTCCATGGCCTGGCCTCTCTTTCAGGACCATCCAATAGAATCTATCTTACTCCTTTTTTGCAGGGGCAGTTTTGAGACAGGGCCTCATTATGTAGTTCAGGCTGGGCTTGAACTCACTAGGCAGCCCAGGCTGGCCTCTTTTTTCTTTTTTCTTTTTTTTTTTTTTTTTCTGTCTTTTTGAGACAGGGTCTCGCTATGGAGTTCAGGCTGGCCTTGAGCTCACTTTGTAGCCCAGGCTGGTCTCAAACTCACAAAGATCCTCCTGCCTCAGCCTCCTGAGTGCTGGGATTACAGGTGTGCACCACCACGCCCAGCTCTTTTTCTTTTTCATTCTTTTTGTTTTGGTACCGGGAATCGAACTCAGGACCTTGCGCTTGCCAGGTAGGCACTTATGCCGCTGAGCTATGTCCCCGGCCTGCCCAGGCTGGCCTCAAAGTTGCCACAGTCCTCTTGCCTCAGCCTCCAGAGTGCTAGGATTACAGGAGTGTGCCACCCACGCCCACCTCTATCTTACTCTTAAGAGGTAGTGTCAGGAATGCGGGTGGATGAAGACCAGCCGGCTAACAAACAGGTCTCTGCCTGCCCCAGGCCACTAGTCTTCATTGTTTTGCATTCTGGAGACCTAACCAACTCCACCCAGGTGCAGAGTGATGGACCCAGGGCACAGGTGGCTGGCCAAGCTGCAACCCCGAGGTCTCTATGGTTTCCGCAGCTCCTATTCCTCACTCCTCCACTCCTGCCAGTCTGTAGGTGACTCTCTTATGGGGAAACCCACCCTCTCCATCCTTCCCACTCAGGATACAGTTACGTTTAGCAGTACTCCAGAACTCATTCTCCGACTGTTCAGTTCAAAGGGAAACCTAGTGACGGGGACACAGAAAGAGGAGTCAAAGGAACTTGATCAAACAAAATCGGAGACAGGCCTGGGGGAAATGAGGAACTTTCTAGCTAAATCCTTCTTTAACAGAGGAAAAACTCAGAGCCCACAGAGGTGGACGCACAGTGCAGCCTTGACCTGACCGCAGCACCCCCAGCTCCTCCCCGAGTGACTTCTCCCCTCCCCATTCACCATGGAGGCTGCAGATCTGATGAATGACATTCCGAAACACCAGCTGCTGCTTCTGCCTTGGGATTCAGTCACAGAATTCTATTTCCAGCTCTGCTCTCGTTTGGAGACCTTGTACTTAGAAAGGATCAAGGGTTCTTGCCTACCCGACCCCTACATACTGCAAAGTACCTGAGAACAAGCCTTTTAGAGGGTCCAGTAGGGTAGATTTCACTTTTGTTGCCCTTATTTTGTTTTGGTTTTGTTTTTGGAGACAAAGTCTTACTATGTAGTTCAGACTGGCCTTAAACTGACGGGCGTGGTGGCGCACACCTGTAATCCCAGCACTCGGGAGGCTGAGGCAGGACGATCGTTGCAAGTTCGAGGCCAGCCTGGGCTACAAAGTGAGCTCAAGGTCAGCGTGAACTGCATAGTGAGACCCTGTCTCAACACATACACACACAAAAAAAGACTGGCCTTCAACTATTAGCCTAGGCTGGCCTCAAACAAGAAGAATCCTCCTGCCTCAGCCTCTGAGTGCTGGGATTACAGGCACAGACCACCATGCCCAGCCCAGGGTGAATTTCTGAGCAATGCTTAGCATTGAGCAACGCTTGGCCCAGCCCCTCTGGTCTCATACCTTTGGGAGGAGTCCAGTGATGAATGCCATCTGACGCCTGTAGCAGAAGAAACTCAATTGTGCTGTTGTCTATCTTGGGAATGCAGTGTCTTCGAAAGATGATCAAACCACATGCTCTCAGGGCCATGGTTCATCTAAGAACTTAACACAGAAGGAATATTACACACATAAGTATATCTGCCCCGAGGGGTGGCAGCACGCTGGTGCTCGAGCATAGCATACAAGAGCTAACAGTGACCTCATAACCCACAGAAAAAGGCAGCATGCCAATAGCCAGTGGAGGGAACCCAGGAGTCAGAGACAAGACCTTCGTGTGTGACTGCAGGACCCTGGCAGCCACCCTCAGCCAATGTGGTTTCCGCCTCAGTCCCTTCGGCATCCCTGTAAGACACAGGACTGGTGTGTGTTTGTTACAAGACTGGAGATCTTGGGAAGTAAACCTACAACCTACATCCTGAGCCCCTGAAATAAAGAGGCCCAACAATTGGGTTTTTGATGACTCAGAGGGGTCACCTAGAACAGGCAGCTCAGTGTACCTTAGTGTAGTGTACTCTATTGATTTTTGTCTTTTCTTTTATCCACATTTTGGTTTTTTTTTTGTTGTTATCCGTGTTGTTTTGAGAAGTTGTTGACTAAACCCCGGGCAGCAGCACATGTGAGGCAAGCATTCTATCACTGTGCTACATCCCAGGCATGCTTTTGTTTTTTTGAGACAGGGTCTCATTATGTAGCCCAGGCTGGCCTTGAACTCATGATCCTCCAGCCTCAATCTCCCAAGCGCTGGGATAACAAACATGTACCACCTGGCCCAGATAGCCAGGCTTTCTAACATGTTAGACATTCACATGTCGAAATCTAAAGTTCAGACAGGCAGGCGGAGGAAGTCTCTTCCCAGCCCGGCAGAAGCGAACAGCATGCGGTGAGGGTCGTGATTTGGAGCGCGGTTCCAGGTTCCAGCTCTGACCCTCACTCGCCGTGTGTCTTCCCAGCTGTGAGCTTCCTCATCTATGAGGAACCCCTGAAAGGGCTGCTGCGAAGACTGCTTGATTTAATTTTTGTAAAGGGAGCCGAATGACGCACTCAATATGTATTTTTCCTCTTCCCCTTTTTTTGCGGCGGGCGGCAGTACTGAGCCAAAAGAAACCCAGGGCCTCTTGCTAGGCAAGTACTCTACCAGGGAGCTACACCTCCAACCCTTTCCAAATTATTTTTTGAGACTCTCACTGAACTGTCCAGGCTGGCCTGGAAGCTGCAATCCTCCTGCCCCCGCCTCCCACACAGCTGGGATTACAGATGTTCACCACTGCGCCTGGCGTTTCTATACATGCAGGAAAATTACGCTTCATTAATCTGGTTTCTGGAAGATGAGATTATTGGGAAACGTTTATTTTCTATGCCATATGTTTTTGTATTATTTGGAATTTTACAAGGAACATTAACTACAGCCTGAACTACAAAGCGAGACCCGGTCTTTAAAAAAAAATTTTCCATTTCAAAAAAAGGTCAACAACACCATCAAGAAAGAAAGACGGGAGGAAAGTAAGAATGTCTGCAGAAATAAGGACAAAATTTACCATCTACAGGGACACGTGCGATTAAAGTAACAAAAACGTGGAAGATCTTTTACGTATGGCCATGCTACAGACACATTCATTTTCTCAGTGAACACTGAGCACCGATTACATCCAGTCAGCACCCCTCGTATCCAGGGAGATGGCTTCCAGGGTCCCTTGAGGATATCAAAATCTGCAGTTGTTCACGTCCCTTCTAGAAAATAATCTACTATTTGCATATAACCTGCACATCCTCCTGCACACTTTCGGTCATCTCCAGATTGCTTATAATCCCTGGTGCAACCTGAATGCTGTGTGAATAGTTGTTACATTATATCCTTGAGGCCACCATGATGAGAAAAAAGTCCGTACCTGTTCAGTGCTGATGCAATTTTTTTGAGTATTTTCCTTCTGTGGTTGGTTATATCTGTCACGTAACCCTGTGCTACGCCTTTGTCCTCAGGCAGCTAATAATTTCATGGGAGAGGCAGACTAATCAAACACATTTAAAAATAATTGCCATAAGGTACACGCTCCAGAGGGAACATAGGATGAGCGGCCTTACTTCATGTGAGGGATAATGCGAGGCTTCCTGCAAGAAGGGGTATTTGCCCAGAGGAGCAAAGGACGAGGCAAGGGAAGTCAGTAAAGGCAAAGAGGGAGACAGTGTGGCTCAAGTACAGGGGGCCGCACAGGCAAAAGCAGAAGCACGCCAGCTGTCTCAGATACAGCGCAGGCGGGGTGGGGGTGGGGTGGCGCACCGCGCAAGGCCCGCGCCGCGTCCGCAGGGCTGAAGGAGCCGGGCTCCGCGGCAGCTGGGCTCGCGCAGAGAGGCTGCTGCCCACCACAGCACTGTGTCTGCGCTCAGCAGAAATGAGATCAAGGCTGTCAAAGGCATAAAAGTCAGGCCCAGACCGAAGCCTGCTCAGGGCAGTTCTCCGGACTGAGAACACTGTAAATGGTAACGTCACTTTAGGGAAGGGCAGTTTCTCACCAGAAAACCAAGCATCCAGCACCAAGACCTTCCCAAACTTTTTTTTTTCTGGGGCTTGATCCTAGGACCTCGCACGTGTGAGGCATATGCCCTCCTAGCAGGCTAAATCCCCAGCCCTACTGTTATGGTTTGTGTCTGGGTGTCCCCCCAAAGCCTCATGCGGTCCTGGGGCAGGCTTTTAGAGTTTGACTGATTATGGGTGTAAGAGCTACACCCGCCCCGGGGGGTGGATAGTTTGCATAGGTAAGGGAGAGGAAGAGGCTGCATGCCGCCATTCCTCCCTTTTGTGTTTGTTGCTTTTGCTGTATTGCGCCACCGCCTTGAGTGGTTGCCCTCTGCCATGTGCCACCCTGCCTTGTAGCCAGCCGAGTACGGACAGAAACCTCCACAAACTGTCAGCTAAATAAACCTTTCCTTCCTGAATTTTGGGCGTCAGATATTTTGTCCCAGCAATGAGAGGAAAGTAACCAAGACACGTACAAAGCTTCCTAAACCTGAAAAACACATTTTCTGGGGGTGAAGACAGGGTCTCACTATGTAGTGTAGGCTAGCTCACTATGTAGCTCAGGCTGGCCCTTAACTTGTAGTGATCGACCTGTCTCAGCCTCCCAAGTCCTGGGATTATAGGGGGGTGCCACCAAGCCCAGCAAAAAGCACTTTTAAGGACAGAAAATGAACTCAAATGAGGGGTTTGAAATGACCTCTGCCAGTGATGGGGAACCTTTTGGAGCATGCAGTGATAACACACAGGTCGCTGTGGCACCCGTGCCACGCTCGCCAGCACTGCTCTATGCTCTCATACGCTGCTGGTGAAGAGGAAGCCGGCATATCCCGTAGGAAGGTCATTTGATAATAATTATGAAAACAAAGTGCACTTTCTTTTAGAACTAGCAATTCCATTTCTAGGGGTTCCATTATAGAAATACATACTTAAGATATATACATAACGACGTTTGCTATAACCTGTTTGCATTATCAAAAAGAAAGAAAAGCAGAAACAAATATATGTCTGTATTAGAACTGTTAAAGTACAGTACGTCTATATGATAAAATATTGTGAAGCCATTAAAAAGTGGAGTAGAACTAAATGTGTTGCTTGTAAGAAAAGATCTTCAGGCATTTTAAGTGAAAAAAGCATGGTTTGGAATAGCATGTATACTAAGGTTTTTTTGAGTTAAAAATTCATATGTAAAGTAGTGGCAGGCTTTTATAAAACACTATGCTCCATCTTCCTGGACTCCTTATTTGTTTGTTTGTTTTGGTTTTTTTTTCCGGTACCGGGAATGGAACTCACAACCTTGCGCTTGCCAGGCAGGCACTGTGCCGCTGAGCTAAATCCCCAGCCCCTGGACTCCTTATTTACGCTGAAAACTTTGCCCATTCTGGAAGCTGAAAGGAAGCTCCCTGTCACTACAGAAGTGGAGAACAAAGCTTGTAAGTTACTGGTTCACAGTTCAGGCAGAAACAGGTAATTGATCCCATACCCTTTCTCCAAAGATGTCCAGAAAGTATTAGAAATGACAGATGTAATATGCCTTGCTCTTGCCTCAGGTGGGGCCCCACAGAATAAATGCTGGAGCCCCTAGATAAGTTTAGGGTTCCAAAACTACAGGGCATAGTGCTCTGCCTAAGAAAGGAAGCTTGAGTATTCCTCTATACCACTGCACCACGATTACCGCATGAAGGAGGACAGGTGCCTGCAAGAGACAAAAAAGCCAGGCCTTACTTGGCCATTGGGAGCTCTAGGGGAGTGGACACCATGTCAGTATCTTCCTATGTGGCAAGGAGAAGGGGTGGGGGGACAATTTAGGGTAGTGACAAGGGCACAGCCTAGTAAGAATGTATTTCAGTGCATGTCACTAGGGATGACCATATCTAAGAACTAGGTTGGCCAAAAGTTCGTCCCAGTGCAGCCAGCGGAGCTAGAACCAGAAATTCACTGTCCATCTGTGCTACGGACCATGGAAAGGATAAGGCTTCTAGAAAGACAGAACTCCTACTCCCTTTGAGTTGCTTGGGTTAGCCAGCTGTTTGTCAGGATTTCCCCCTTACCCACATGCACCATATAAGCAACCTTCTTGTTGTTTGTTTGTTTGTGTTTTTGTTTTTTGAGACAGGGTCTCCCTATGCAGTTCAGGCTGGCCTTGAGCTCACTTTGTAGCCCAGGCTGGTCTCAAACTCTCAATGATCCTCCTGCCTCAGCCTCCCGAGTGCTGGGATTACAGGTGTGCGCCACCATGCCTGGCTATAAGCACCCTTCTAGTTCTTTCTCTCGGATACTGTCTTCTCTGTGCAGCTTTCTGGCTTCTAAGCACTTCACAAATTTCCACTCCAGGGTCCAAGCAGAGAAGCAGCAGGCTATAAGTGGTTGACCAGCACCAAGCATAGGCACTGCCACCGTGCTGCACCCCAGCTCTGCCCTTCAGTGTACTAGCTGATGCTTCAGCTTTCTAACCTTACACCAAATTTTCTTGTGGTCAGTGTTGGCCTAAAACAGGATAGGAAGGGAATTCTAAGAAACACAGTTCTAGCTTAGTTCAAATGACAGTGCAAAGCCATCAGAAGCACACATACCTGCACAGCAAACCTGTTGG